ATGTCATAATCGAGTAGATGATGAAGATACTACTCTAGAATTGTCCGGGAAAAATATAAAGGTGAGGAAGGATTAATATTAGCTCAGTAAAAAAATAAAATAGAAGTCATAAAAGGTAATATTTTGTGAATATTTTATAAATTAGTTTAATTATTTTGAGTGAATTTAGAAATCTTTAGAATGGAGTTTCATGAGTTTTTTTAGTACTTTTATATGCTTGTGCAGATGCTTTTATCATATGAAAGTATACTAGAGTTAGCATTAATCTTTAATTTATAATTTTTTCTGAAGTCTATTAATGATTAGGAACAAACTTTATATATATTCTCCTTTGTATCGTTTTAGCATACTTTTAAGAAATTATTTTGCCTTATTGGTTTTAAATATTTACCTTCCTTGTATAACACTGTTTAAATATATTTTCACTTTTGCAACCCTATACTTGTTTAAGTAACACTTGGTTTCCTATCAGTCAAAATAATATAAAAATTTAAATTAGCTCAAATTTTATTTGTTTTCTATCAATTCTAATATTAACATGAAAATTTAAATTGGGTGTAGCCTATTTAAACAAACATCAATAAAAATAACTAATCGCAATATTAAAGTTTAGAGACAAAAGTGAGCATAAACTATTAAAGTTGAACTGAGGAACAAATTTTAGTTAGAAAATAAGCCAAAAATACTTAATCATGATATTTAACCACGCGTATTTCACGTGTATAAAACCTAGTATATAAAAGACTACAAGTTTTGTAGTGAAATTGATTTTCTCGCAGTATAATTTTTTCCAAACAATAGATTATTATACTCCTAACAGAAAATAAAGACTTGTCTTCTCACCAATTTTAACTTTCTCTAGGGAACCGACCAGGATTGGGATCCTCTACTAATGAGGATCCTCCTAAGATCTCCTAATGAGGAGATCTTGGCCTTTGATTTATCAATCAAAGGTCAAGATCTCATTCTCTTCCTCCTCCCTACTTTTTCTCATGAGGAAATCATGACCTTTGATTGATAAATCAAAAGCCAAGATCTCACGAGGAGATCTTAGGAAGGGTCCTCATTAGTAGAGGATCCCAATCCAAAGGACCATTACAGCATCTGCCACTTCAACCCACAACGAAAATCATTTCCCTTTCAATCATTAAAAAAAATAAGAAATTGATTATTTTCCATAACAAAATAATAATAATAAGACTATATTTTTTGTTATAGGTTGTCTTAAATACTCAAATCCATATTGTTTTGGGAGTTTCTTTTTAGCTTGGTTTGTTTTGATCAAGAGTTCTAGTTACATTAGGCTTTGCACAACCAATCATATTAGAGGTTTATTCCTACTTGGACTCTTGTTTTGTTTTAGGACATGTGAACTTCTATTCCTATTAGAACTCTTCTTCCTTAGACAGCAAGGAGCCGGGATCTTCAAGGCTATATAAGAACAGTTTTTCAAGCCAATTAGATACATCAATCTTCAGAGCACCAATCAAGAAGAGAGAGTTATTTTGTAAAGCCTATTTGATATTCTTCTCTTTTGTACTTTTAGTTGAGAGTTGTATTAGGCTTTTCGAGTGTGATTTAGGATTGAGTGATTGAGAGATTCTACTTTGTATTCCTCACAATTAGTAAAGTTTTTCTCCTCATTCGCTTGTGGACGTAGGCTACAAGTCGAACATCGTACATCTTTGTGCTGGTGTGCTCTTGATATTTTTCGTGCTCTCGTGTGATTGATATTAGCTTATCTTGGGGAATTTGTCATAACAAATTGGTATCATACCCCTCAGCTATTGATCGGACGAGAAGATTATGACAGCTACTACGAAGTGGGATATGGAGAAGTTTGACGGTGATATCAGTTTCAGCATTTGGCAAGTTAGGATGATCGCTGTGTTGACACAGAGTGGATTGAAGAAGGCTTTGTTCGGCAAGTCGAAGAAACCTGCTACTATAACGGAGGAAGATTGGAACGAGTTGGATGATAGAGCTCTCACAGAGATCCAATTATGTTTGACAAACAAAGTTTTGCAAGAAGTTCTCACAGAGAAGGCAATCGCTGATTTATGGTCTAAATTGGAGGATTTGTATTTGATGAAGTCGCTCACTAATCGCCTCCTCTTGAAGCAACGTTTGTACACACTTCGGATGTCGGAAGGAATACACATCAAATCTCATATTAGTGAATTTAATTCTATGATTACAGATTTGAGTAAGATTGATGTTAAGATTGATGATGAAGATCAAACCCTATTGTTATTGTGTTCTTTGCCACCTTCCTACAAGCACTTTAGGGTACTATGATTTATGGTTGAGATTCTATTGGTGTCAAGGATGTCAAAGAGAACTTATTGAATAAGGAGTAGATCGACAAAGAGTTAGCCACAAGTGAAAGTGGTGATAAAGCTGAGGGCTTGTTTGTTCGAGAAAGATTGGAAGAAAGGGGCTTTGAAGGTAACATGTATAAGTCGAAGCACAATAATTTGACCTGCAGATATTTTAAGAAGAAAGGGCACATCAAGATCGATTGTTACAGATTGAAGAACAAAAATAAACAAGAAGAGTATGAAGGAAAATTAAAGGAGGACTCCGCTGAAGTTGATATTGCTGAAGATGTGATTTTGTTGGCTATAGATGATATAAACAGGGGCATGGATGATTGAATTTTGGAGTCAGGTTGTTCCTATCATATGTGTCCTAATAGGTACTGGTTCACCACGTATGAAGCTATTAATGGTGGAGTTGTTCTTATGGGGAACAATGCCTCATACAAGCTTATTGGGAAAGGCACAATTCAGATTAAGATACATGATGCAGTCATCAGGACTTTGACAGATGTTAGACATGTTTCAGGTTTAAGGAAAAATTTCATCTCTTTCGGCACTCTTGATAGCATTGAGTGTAATTTTTCAGGTGAAGGTGGAGTTCTTAGGGTTATAAAAGACTCTATTGTGGTTATGAAAGGAAAGAAGATCGCAACTTGTATGTTTTGCAGGGTTCTACCGTTACCGGCTCGGCTACAATTGCATCGTCGATGTCAGGAGTTGATACTACCAGATTATGGCGTATGAGACTTGATCATATGAGTGAGTACGAATTGACCGAGTTGAGTAAGAAGAGTCTTTTATGTGGACAGAGTACAGAAAAATTGGGATTTTGCGAGTATTGCAAATTTGAGAAGAAAAAAGAGTCAGCTTCAGTATGATAGTGCATTAGATTAAAGGTACTTTGGATTATATCCATTCAGATCTTTGGGGACCTTCTCAAGTTGCCTCGAATGGTGATAGTTCTAGATATTTGTTAACCTTCATTGATGACTACTCCATGATGGTTTGGATCTACTTTTTGAGACATAAAGATGAGTTGTTTGTAACTTTCAAGCAGTGAAAGTTTTTGATTGAGAAGCAGAATGGGAGGTTAATTAAGAGGCTTAGAACTGATAATGACCTTGAGTTTTGTGGAGAAGAATTTAATGTTTTGCAAGAAGTAGGAAATCGTAGACATCGTGCAGTCTCTCGCACACCGCAACAGAATGGAGTGGCAGAACGTATGAATAGAACCCTATTAGAGAAAGCTCGTTGTATGATGTTCAATGCAGGTTTAATTAGGCAAGGAATACTGGATGAAAGCAGTGAATACAACTTGTTACTTAGTGAATTGGTCACCATCTACTGCTATTAGTTGTAAAACTCCAAAGGTGGTTTGGTTCGGTAAGCCTACGGATTATTCTATTCTTAGAATATTTGGTTGCCCTGCATATGCGCATGTTAGTCAAGGGAAACTTGAGTCGCGAGCGAAGAAGTGCATATTCCTAAGTTATGCATCAGGTGTTAAGTGTTTTAGGCTGTGGTGTCCTGATCCAAAGTCTCCTAAGATTATTATTAGCTGTGATGTTACTTTTTGATGAATTTACTATATTCCACGAGAAACGATCATCGGTTTTAGTTGGTGATAAGGCGCGCACTGCAGCACATAAGGTGGAGTTAGAAATTCATGATTCGGCTCTTTAGCAGGATAAGACTACGAGAGTTCAGCAGCCAGATTCCGTTCATATAGATGAAGCACCTCAGCAGCTACAAGAAGAACGAGAATACACTATTGCTAGATATCGGTCTAGATGAGATATCCGACCATCGCGAAGATATGAAGATTCGGTAGCTTATGCATTATCGGTTGACAATTTTGTGCCCTTCAACTATTTAAGAGCTACTTCAGGTGATGACTTCGCTAATATTTACGGTCGTCGTGCGGACAATTCAGTCGATTTGTTGAGGAGGCCTCTTTCTATTAGCAAGTTCAAGTCGGGCTTGAACTTGATCGATACCTGCCGCATTTAGATGCCCTGCAGGGCTATTGGAGAATGTGTAGTAAGTTAGCTTATTTTGGAATGAGAAATCTTCTACGCATTTGAGTCAAGGTGGAGATTTGTTATAGGTTGCCTCAAATACTCAAATCCATATTGCTTTGGCAGTTCCTTTTTTAGCTTGGTTTGTTTTGATCAAGAGTTCTACTTACATTAGACTTTGCACAATCAATCATGTTAGAGGTTTATTTCTACTTAGACTCTTGTTAGGTTTTAGGACATGTGGACTTCTATTCCTATTAAAACTCTTATTCCTTAGACATCAAGGAGCTTGGATCTTCAAGGCTATATAAGAACAATCTTTCAAGCCAATTAGATTCATCAATTTTCATAGCACCAATCAAAAAGAGAGTTTTTTTGTGAAGCCTATTTGATATTGTTCTCTTTTGTTCATTTAGTTGAGAGTTGTATTAGGATTTTAGGATGTGATTTAGGATTGGGTGATTGAGAGATTCCACTTTGTATTCCTCACAATTAGTAAAGTTTTTCTACTCCTTCGCCCGTGGACGTAGGCTACAAGTCGAACCACGTATATCTTTATGTTCGTGTGTTCTTGATATTTTTCGTGCTCTGGTGTGATTGATATTAGCTTCATCTTGGAGAATTTGTAATAACAGTTTTGTAGTGAAATTGATTTGTCCGCAACATAAATTTTTTCCAAAAAATAGATTATTATACTCCTAACAGAAAATGAGACTTGTCTTCTCACCAATTTTAACTTCCACTAATGAAACATCGCCGCATGTACGGCTTTACCCCACTACGGAGACCATCTCTTTCGACCGTTCAAACCTCTCTATAAAAAAAGAACACTCGTCCCTACGTCTCTAAGAATCCCTCAAACCTCAAAACAACCATTAAGAAAAATGGTACTCCAGAATCTTTTATGGTTTAATAATCCAAGATTAGGTCTAACCTCCCTCCTAATCTTCCATCTCCTCTTCCTCCATTCAGCCGCTGACAACCCCATCCTCCAACCCAGAAAGGCAAACTGTACGGGCCTATCCTACACCCAAAACAGCCCCTTCGCCACGAGCCTCGCTGCCGTCCTCTCCTCCCTCACCGCCAAGTCGTCGTCATCCAACTCCGCCACCTTCAACGTTACAACCAAAAACAGTTCGGACCTTGTATACGGTCTTTTCATGTGTCAAGGCGACCTTGCCAGCTCAGACTGCCAGACATGTGTCAGGGCTGCTGCCACTGCAATCACCACCAACAGCTGTTCAACATCACGTCAGGCCGTCATCTGGTATGATAGCTGCGAACTCCGTTACTCCGACTTCAACTTCTTCGGCATCCCCGACACAGCTGGATTTAGCATGAGCAATCCCAGCCAAAAGACGAGCTCTCAAGAGCCGTTTGCAGTTGTGGCTGACCTCGTGAAGACCGCACCGCTCAACAAACCGCTAATGTTTGCCTCGAAGGCGTTGGTGAACGACGACAGTATTTATGCGCTCGCTCAGTGCAGTGATGACCTTAGCATCGATGGCTGCAAAGAGTGCCTGACAACGATATTGGCTGATATCAAGAATTGCTGCACGCAATGGAGGGGGTGGCGGTACTTGGCGACTAGCTGCTGGGTGAGGTACGAGTCCACACCTTTCCTTAAAAACTTGAATGGAACTCCCACAGTGATCACTGAGCATAGCTGTTCAGACTCGATTTTCCCATCAAATAGTCTTGCAATAGTCGAATCAAATCTCAACAATCTTCTGCAAAATCTGACAACCAAAGCTCAGACGAGCGGTTTCTATAATACCACTGTTGGAGAGAACCCAGACCAGTTCTACGGCCTAGCCCTCTGCCGGGGGGACCTCACCCCACCTAGTAACGATTGCAATACATGTCTCGCCAATGCTAGGCGCACCATAATAGGAGACTGCCCGAATAACACACAAGGGATCAAATGGTACGAGAAATGCCTCATGAGATATTCCAACAGCAACTTCTTCGGGGTGGTGGATTTGGCTGGGCAGTCAAGCTGCCAGTGATGACACGATCAAGTTTGCTAGGGGCCTCGTGGAGCAAGCCTCGAATAATCCACTGATGGTTGCCGGTGGAGAAGAGTCAGTTACTAGTCAATTGTCGAGCTATGTTTTGTTGCAGTGCACAAGAGATCTTAATAGTGAAGGCTGCAAGAACTGCTTAGAAACCGGGTTGAGCCAAGTTAGTGCTCAGTGCAACCAAACTAACGGGTGGCGATATGTATCAGGAAGCTGCACGCTGAGGTACGAGGTTTTTCCCTTCTTCAGCATTTCGGCAATATCAACTCTTCAGTCTCCGCCAGCAGCTTCTCCACAGGGCGAAGAAGGTTTACATATTTTCTGTTGGTCAAACCTGATATATTTAATAGTAGCCCGCTTGTTAAGATCATAAAAAATTGACCAAGGTAGACACGAAGTAAATTGTCTCTTATTTGGAACTTTTACAAAATAAAATAAAGAACGGATAAGGGGAATATTAATCCTTTAAAAGTTACAAGTGCGACACTCAAGGAACAGCTTTTTACAACATAACTAGTTTAGCTGTGCTCAGCTACCAAAATGACATTTACACAATAAATAAAATTTATACACCTAGATCCATTATAACCTGCATGTTTTAAGGTCCCCATAGAAACAAGGGTTAGTTGTGAATCGACAACTGTAGTACCACTCAATCGCAAAAAGCTCCCATGTAGTTCTATTTGTTGTTAATAGAACCCCTGTAGTTATACTTGTTGCAAATAGACCCCTCGAGTGAATTTTTTTTACTCTTAAATAGTGAAAAATGTTTAAGGAGGTGGATAGACCCCTATAGTTCTATTGTTAAGGATAGGCATCTAATTTCTCATTTTTTTGACTTAAAAAAGATAAAAAATTCACTAAGGGGGTGTGCTCGCACTTGGCCCAAATATTATAGAGGTCTATTCACAACAAGTAGAACTATAAGAGGTCTATTCGCAACAAATAGACATACAAGGGGTCTATTTGCAGTTGGGTGATACTATAGGGGTCTGTTAGCAATTAATTCATAGTAAATAATAAAATTTGAAGACCTATCATCCAACACACCATAAGGTGGAATATGGAGCCTTCTTTCGTCGACAATCTACTAGAAAACAACCACAACAACAACAAAGTTTTTACCCTAAATTTTTGTTGGCAGCTACATGAATGCTACTCTTCCATTCAGTTTTATTTTTGGGTCATCTACTGTGTTAATTGTTATCATATCCTTCTTAATTGCTTCCAACCAAGTTCTTTTACGTCTACAATCTAACTAGAAAAATCTCATTATCTATGAACTAGAAGCTTCCAACCACATGACTTTTTAGTTATAAACGCTTTAAGGCATGTAGCATATTGAATGGAACAGAGTGACCATTGAGCTACCTGAACTCATGAATCCCTGAGTGCTTTCAGTTATATAATTGAAATATCACTTACAGAAACTTTCAAAATGTGTGATATATATTTATAGAACTTTCAGATTTTGTATATGTAAAATTAATGAGGTGGGCTATCCAATTGCATTACACACTGCATCGGTAGGTGGATAAATAACTAATCAAGGGATGTGTTGGAAATCTTTAGTTAGAAAGTAACACCCAAATATAGCAACACGGAGAAGAAATAATAACATTGATAAATGATCAGTGACTATTTCATGAATACATTCCCAGAGGAATAGCTTGTAAAAGCTTGTCATCATGCATAGCTGGATAATGTCTGAAGGACTCATTTCGCCGCGGATAATTGAAACATCACTTGATCACCAAAAACTTAGGTGATTAAAAAAAAGTACAACCTGGAGAACTTTGATTGAAACTAGATTTCCCACATCTTATGATTTTTTAATACTGAATTTTTAAGGCAAAAATTTAGCAGAGGTCCCTTATGCATTGGTCAGATATCATCTAGGTCTTTTATATTTATGAGTCATAAGTGAGGGTTCCTAGTGTTACCTCTGTCATAACCCTAGGTCTCTTTTACAAACTTCTATTAGATAATGATGACATGTCACTGACACGGAGGACATTAATGAAGTTATAAGTTTGTCCAGCCATGTCACTGATACGTCAGCAAGATTTAACTGAAGTTAGTTTAAAAAAAACTAGAGTGTAGGGACCCTAAATGAAGACTTTCAAAATACAAGGGACCTAGATGAAATTTGAGCAATACATGAGCAACCTCAACTAAAGTTTTGAGAATTTTAATTGTCTTCCTCTTTGAACAGAGATGACAAAGAACAACATGTCAAGCGCTAAGATTGCCTCCATTGTTGCACCTATTCTTGGAGCAGTTCTTTTGGGCCCTCTTCTATACTACCTATGGCGAAGGCTGAGAAGGAAAAAAGGTACATAGCTATCCCACTGTTTGCATCTCCAAGAAATAATGCACTTCTGATTTGCTAAACTATCTTAAGTTCTTCCTTCCAGATAGAGGAAGATCTCCTTTCAGTGATATTTCAAATTCACCGGACACAGATTTGCATCTGATGGATTTGGTTACTATACAAGCAGCCACGAGTAACTTTTCCGACAACAATAAACTTGGGGAAGGTGGCTTTGGCCCTGTTTACAAGGTATCAGATATTAATCTAACTTATGCTGGTCCCTAAATCTTTGTTTCTTAATCAACATGCAAACATACGTAGGGCATACATGGCAGAAAAGAAATCGCAGTTAAGAGGCTCTCAAAAAATTCCAAACAAGGTGCTGCTGAATTCAAGAATGAAGTGAAACTAATTGCAAAACTTCAGCACAGAAACCTTGTTAGACTTTTGGCTTGCTGCATTGAGAGAGATGAAAAACTAATAGTTTACGAATTTCTTCCCAATGGAAGCCTGGATGCCTTTCTTTGCGGTTAGTGGTCTCATTTATACATTCTTACATATTTCATTGACAATAAAAACATTCACAGCTTTTTGTTTAACCACTGTTCTCTCACTAATACAAGAATACTCCTACGATCTCAGATCCAAATAGGCGTGCTCAGCTGGATTGGAACAGAAGAATACAGATAATTTCAGGAATTGCAAGGGGTATTCTCTACCTCCATGAGGACTCGAGGCTCAAAGTCATTCACAGAGATCTTAAAGCTAGCAATGTGTTGTTGGATAATGAGATGAACCCAAAGATATCAGATTTTGGCATGGCAAAGATTTATGAAGTGGACGAAACTGAAGTTAATACTAACAGAATTGTTGGAACTTAGTGAGTGAATCAAATACTCTAATAAGGTAAGATCATACCACTTTTGTCTAACAAAACCCTTACTTTGATGCAAAACAGCGGATACATGGCACCTGAGTACGCAATGGATGGTCTGTACTCTGAGAAGTCAGATGTGTATAGTTTTGGAGTTCTGCTACTAGAGATCATAAGTGGTGAAAAGAATGGCCGCACACATTTTGAAAGACATGGGCAGACCCTTCTTAGATATGTGAGTTCTTTATATGCTTTAAATCACCTAAACCTGATGTTCCAAGATCCATTCTCTCAAACAAGAAGAACTGGATGCTTTATGCAGAAACTTTTAACAAATTTCATAGGAAAACGTTTTATTCATCAGCATTCTAACTGATGTCCAGTCCATTTCCATACAAAATAAAACTTAGCGTATATTAAAATTTGCAAGAATGACAATAACTAGCATTCAAGTTAAGATATTGAAGTGCAAGGGAAAAGGCATGGTAACTTGTGGAATGAGAACTATACATCAGAATCACAAATTCAAATGACTCCGAACTGCACTTGACAGGCATGGCAGCTGTGGAACGAGCACAATGCGGTGGAGCTGATGGATTCATTGTTAGAAGGCTCATATCCAACAAATGAGGCAATGAAATTAATAAATATTGGCTTGTTGTGTGTCCAAGAAAATTCAGATGGAAGACCGACCATGTCTTTGGTGGTTCATATGCTTCGAGCTGAGGAAACGGTTATTCCCCAGCCCACACAACCCCCAACATTTATTAGACAGAGGACATCAGCATCAAATGTTTCATCAAATACTCATTCCAGTACTGATCACTCCATCAATAGGGTGACAGAAAGTATTATTGAGCCTAGGTGATGTATTACTTTTAGCAAACATTACTGGTGTAACATAAACAAGTGGGTGGTTTCACCAAGGAAATAACATGAACAACCAAAGAAGCTAGTGGATTTTGCTAGTGCTCTTGATCTTAGAGATCGCTATGTTGATGGCTTGGGAATGATCAAAAGCAGGGACAGCCCCAAGACTATGATCGTACAAACATTACAACCCAGTGATCAGTGATTGTTCAACTCTATAACTTAACAGTTAAACAACTCTGTGTTTCTCCCTCTCTGGGACACCGTAAAGGATCATCTCTTACCATATAGTGAACCTCATAGCCTACTGCAAAATGAAGCTTTGCTGTATCACAAAAAGAAATGAAAGGAAACAAGAAAAGAAATAGAAAAATGGAATCATCTTATCGGTTTTTTATCATCTTCCAAGGGGTAATAGATGTTTCACTGCATCGTGTATATTGCTTTGTTCACCACTCCCAGCAACTCCAAATACAATCCTAGACCTTCTGAGGAAATCATAGTCAACAATGTCACCACTCCCAGCAACTCCAAATACAATCCTAGACCTTCTGAGGAAATCATAGTCAACAATGCAGAAAAGTTCCAAGCAGGATACAGTAGCAGACTCGACTATGGAAGCTGAATACATTGCAACTAATGATGCAGCTAAAGAAGCTGTCTGGATGAGGAAGTTCCTTTTAGAGCTGGAAGTTGTTCCCACCATTAAAGATCCAGTACCTTTATACTGTGATAATAATGCTGCAATAGCTCTAACAAAGGAACCCCGATCTCACCATAAGTCCAGACACATTCTGAGGAAGTATCACTTGATCAGGGAGATAGTTGATCGCCGGGAGATCAAGATTGAAAGAGTAGACACAAAAGATAATATAGCAGATCCATTCACAAAGGCAATTGCTCGTTCACAATTTGAGAAACTTGTTGAGCTATTGGGTATTAGATACTATAATTGGCCTTAGTACAAGTGAGAGTTTGTTAGATATAGGTGCCCTGCAGGCAATTATTGTATATTGTAACAGGACCTATATGTATATAACATCCTTGTTCAAAATGATAGTATGCTATTTTGGTCAGATTTATCTGATGTTCTAAATATACAGATAATGTCCTTAGAATAAATACTAGACTATCAGACATTTCGGATAGTGATCGTAATGAAGAGATCTGATTAGTCGGTAACGTATATTCTAAAATGTTCCTAGTTGATGAAGTGTTGAGATAGGACATCATCACTTTGGTTTAGACTAGTGTATGCTTTATTTCTCCTTTTGAAGGAGATGATCAATCTCTTAGATCATTGATGTGAGACATCAAGATACAGTATACAGGTGACTCATTAGTGAATGAGTTGACTGAACGACTCGCCGAGAACATCTAGTTGGTAATATACTTAACTGTCAAATAGAAGTTCTCAAGTGATATAGTACATAGTAGTCTCTTGACCTGAGGCATGAGTGCAATATCTTATATGTCAGTAAAGATGTATTTAGACTTTTACCTAACCACAGTTCTTATTGAATTGTGCATAACGGTTCTTGTTGGGTACATCCCGAGACATAAGTAGATATTGAGATGCCAAGAAGGGATTCGTCTCTCCCAGTATAGGGGTTGATGTCATAAGATTGTTTGATATAACTATAGCCTGGAAATCCTTGGCCAAGGTGAATAAGATAAACTGAGTGTCAGTTTGATCTTATAGGTTATGAGTTTAATATCAATAAACACTAATCAAGCTATTAGGGTTTGACAGTTTGCCATACCCTAGGCTCAATAGTTTGACATGGTTTGACGAAGAGACCGGACTGTACGGTATTATCATTGAGTGGTCCTGATAAAATTGGATAAGCATCTTGCAGACCTTTATCACAACTTATACCCGGGTGGTCTTCATGTGTAGCTAGCACCTCTGTTGTACTTATGGATATGATCCACTACCGAGTTTTTTAAGTTGGGCCCTAGAGTCACACCAAGCGCGTACTTGAATCCTATGAAACACAATTTATGGAGTGATGCGTATGATTGATACGCATATATGATTTCTTCCGGATACACATAAACGGTTATGTATATCGGTAAAATCGGAATGCTATGTGCTTAGGAAATGAATTCCAGTATTTTTCCCATAAAGTTAACTTTTAGTCAACTAGTTGACTTTTTGGTCAACAGTTGACTTTTGGTCAACTCTTGATTTATTTGGTCATATAGTGACTAATTAGTTAAAGATTGGAATAATACTATATACCGTATTTATGAAATACTGTATTAGTGATAATAATTTGGTATTCTCATTTATGAAATACACATACCATGTATAATGAGTCATGAGATGAGTCACTTAGTGGTATGGTTTGAGCACATGGTTTATTAGCACATGGTTTTGAAATGTAATGATTCATAAGATGATTCATTGCATGACTCACTTGATTAATCATTAATTTTTGATGATTCATTGCATGACTCATAGGATGAGTCATTCATATCATGAACACATTTCACTCTATAAATATGAGCTCTTTTTCTTATGGAAAGATTAATGAAAAATTGGCTAAGTGTTTTTTTCATAAGAGAATAAAAGAGAGCTCTCCTCTTACTAATCTTTAGCAATCTTTGAGCAAGAAGAAGTAGTAGGATTTTAAGAACCCGGGGTGGATATCTTGCCTTGTGTCTTAAGAAGACTCCCATTTTATCAAGCTCACTTGAAGACTTGGAGATCCACTACAAGGAGATTTTCTACTACAAGGAGCAAGAGCTAGGGGTTATTCGATCTTTCATCGAATCACGCTACGAAAGTATGACTTTCTAACTCTTATATGCTCACTTAATAATAAGGATCATGTTAGATTTAATTAGACGATCCATATGAATATTTCATGCTCTCTACATGCTTAGTATTTTTGTACATACATGTCTTCCGCTGTGTATTATGCATGTAGACATAGCACGATTTCCTTCACTCTGGTTGGTCGACTGAACGGGTATGGCCGATTGACCAAAAATGTGCATATTACAAGGTGAGAAATTGAGCTTCTGTCCGGTCGACCGGTGGTGTGCTATCGACCTGAAAGCGGTTACGTGCCTAATTCGGTTTCTCAGTCTGTTTTGGATTTGGATTGCTGATTGATATAAACAGCAACATCGTTTCTTAGGGTTAATTGAGAGTGTTTTAACCAGAGAATTGTTAGTCTTTTGAGTACTTTGTGAGGGAAATATTATGAGGGAGTTGAGATCTTTAGTTAGGGTAATATTTGAGTGATTGTATGAGTTGTAACACGTTGTATTTCTCCTCCATATAGTAAAATCTCTCTCATCCTTTCCCGTGGATGTAGGCAATTGCCGAACCACGTAAATTCCTGTGTTTGGTTTGATTTGTGCCGTATTTTTGGTGGATTGCACTCATATTTGGTTTAGTTCTCTTCTCTCATCGCTTACCGACTCATTTGGTTAGCGAGCACGCTTCTGCACTCATATTTGGTTTAGTTCTCTTCTCTCATCGCTTACCGACTCATTTGGTTAGCGAGCACGCTTCTGCACGGCGCGTAATAATTGTTATCAGAGCTCTAGGGTTTCAGATCTAGGGTTTTGCATTGGGTGAAGGAAGATTCGTTGTTGGAAGCTTGGTTCTTGGAGTTCTAGGCTTCGGTGGAGATAACATTGCGGAGTTGCCGTTGGGATCTCGCTTTCCTTGTGTGGTTAAGAGATCGTGTTCGAATCCTATCTTGGGTTCAGTTCGATAATTTCTCAATTCTATCAAAGTTTGAATCTTTCTTTACAATTTGGAGTTTGTAAGAATGGGAGAAGAAGTTGGTGAAAGCAGCAAGACAATGATGAATACAGTTTAGGTTGGACTTCAAAATACTAAGATTAGTATAGTGAAGTATGACTGCAAGATCAATTTTAGTTTGTGGATGAGCGACGAACATGACGCTTTCAATGCTCAAAATTTGAAAGAGACCATCATGATCCATGAGAGGCCACTGAAATACGATGAGGCGATATGGGACAAGATGAATAAGAACGCTTGTGGGGTGATCAGGTCTTGTTTGGAACAATAGCTGAAATACGATAAGATTGGTGTGACGTCTGCGATAAAAGATGTAGGAGATTCTTAACAACAAGTACCTTACGAAGAGTGTTAAGAATCGGTTTCACTTGCTGCGAAGATTATTCAGAGTCCAAATGTCCATAGGCACCTCACTTGCAGTTCATGTGAACAACTATACAAAGTTATTGTCGGACTTAGCAAACGTGGATGAGAAGATAACGGATGTGTACAAGACGATTATTTTGTTGGGCTCCTTACCCAATGAGGAGTATGATACTGTCGTGCTCACTTTGTTGAATAATAGATCTTTCATCACCTATAGTGATGTGACTAATGCGTTAACGAATTACGATCTGAGGAGGAAGGACAAAGAGACTTTTAGAGCTAGCACTTTAGGAGATGTCTTGTCGACGAGAGGAATGAGTCCCTATCCGAGATGTGGCAATAGAGACAAGTCAAAATCTGGAGGCCGCTATCAAATTTTAAAGAACCAGTGTGCTTTTTTGCAAAGAACAAGAACATTGGAAGAGAGATTGCCCAAAGCTCAAAGAGAAGGAAAATAGCAAGAAGAAGGGCCCGAAGGCCAATGAGGTGAATGTTGCTAGAGGTGATGATTCCGATGATTAATGCTTTTCTCTATTACTCCAAAGGTGAACCATGTGGATGCATCTAATTGGATGCTAGGTTTTAGTGCTCTTGATCTTAGAGATCGCTATGTTGATGGCTTGGGAATGATCAAAAGCAGGGACAGCCCCAACGCTATGATCGTACAAACATTACAACCCAGTGATCAGTGATTGTTCAACTCTATAACTCAACAGTTAAACAACTCTGTGTTTCTCCCTCTCTGGGACACCGTAAAGGATCATCTCTTACCATATAGTGAACCTCATAGCCTACAGCAAAATGAAGCTTTGCTGTATCACAAAAAGAAATGAAAGGAAACAAGAAAAGAAATAGAAAATTGGAATCATCTTATCGATTTTTTATCATCTTCCAAGGGGTAATAGATGTTTCACTGCATCGTGTATATTGCTTTGTTCACCACTCCCAGCAACTCCAAATACAATCCTAGACCTTCTGAGGAAATCATAGTCAACAATGCAGAAATGCAATCATCAC